AGAAAGCTAGCAAGAAACTAGAAGAAAAGTATGATTTTACTTTTTGTTTTGCTTTTTGCTGTTATTGGTTGCTGAGTTTTTCTTCCTTAAGGAATGAGAAATTGACTCACTATGCCAAAAGAAGCCTGTAGTATAGGAAAGATCAAAGGAGATAAACAGAATCAAAAGTTCAGGTATAAAAAGATCACTTTGCAAACCCAAAGAATTCTTCCTATAAGATAGGAACAAAACTAAATTGTAATGCAGTGAGAAAAGTGTAGTAACAAGTGTGGTGGGTGAAAGGGAAAACACTACAAAAATTCCAAAGAGGTTTCTTTCTTAAACTCCATAAAGTACCAATAACCATGATGCTTTAGAACTTTATTCCCTTACAATAGTAGCGACTACAATGAATATGTAATAGTAAAAAAGTGTATACAGTAATAGGAAAGAAAACACTAGGATTCTGAATTACGCAGCAGGAAATTAAGAATATACCTGGCTCTAGAGTGAAAAAGCTTGAGTTTAAATCATTACGGACAAGTATGTTAACCTCATGCTTTGGTGCCTCAGTATCATCACATGGAAATGGAAATAACACTTACCTCATAAAACTAGGAAATAATACAAAACGCTTAACAGCAATACATACAAATGTTAGGTGGTAGTGGTGGCAATAGTGACAGTGACAACAGTAGTAATGTGACCTATCTGTGTTTAATTAACCAGTATATAAGGAAAGAGGGAAGGGCTAGGCTCTTAAATACGAGGGGGCTTCAAAAAGTTCGTGGAAATATTCATATTGTCTTTTAAGTCCATTTTGCCACAAACTTTTTATTGAAGCACCCTCATATGTGTCTCATTCAGTCCTTTCAACAACAGATGGAAACAAGCATAATTTTCCCTATCACACCAGTAAGAAAATGGGAGTTCATTTCCTAGATGACTCAGCTAATAAATGGCAGAACTGAGATTTGAATACTGATCTATGTGGACAGAACACTTCTTTTCTTTCCACTACACAACAGTACATCCATAGCACTACATAGTAGCAGAAGGGCAAAACTAGGCATTCTTTTCTTCTAAACTTACAAAATCTGGGCATGTCATTAGGTCTATCTGCCTCTCAATTTTATTTTCTGAAAAGTTAAGGGTTTGATTACATCTTGAAGTGTCCCTTTAGATTAAAAAAAAGTCCACAACTTTATTAAAGTCAACTTTATGGTACAGAGCCCATAAAAAAGTTTTAAAATGTGTTTAAAAACAAAAAACAAAAAAAACCTTGAACTACAATGACAACAAAAGAGCTTAAATTTTTCCCAGGATGTCATATTATCAAAAACAAAATAAGAATGTTAGAAAGACCAAAGTCTCGTTTTATATTATTAGCAAGTATAACCAAGCAAATGTTTCAGATAACAAAACATCAATCTTAGGTTATTTCAAGATGCCAATTTTCAATTATTTATGAAAAAGGAAATTCGGAACCCTGATACACCTACAGAACTCATAATCAAATAAAACACAGACTAATAGACTTTTATTTCATGCTGAAAATGCAACCAAGCTTTTTTTTAAAAAAAAAAAACATCAATCTGAAAACTCTCCTGCCCTAAAATGCTTCACTGGTTTCCCATTACCCTTCAATAACATCTAAAATCCCTAACATAACTCAACAAAGTCCTGTGTGATATGGCTCTTCTTTCTAGAGCTGTCCACTGCCATTCTTCCCCCTGCTCTCTTTTCAATTTCTCTCAATTTCTCCAAGACACCTTTTTTTCTTTCATTTTTAGGACCTTCACACAGTCTGCTCTCCAAAACCTAGAATGCTTTCACAGGTCTCTATTCCCATCCTTTTGCCCCAGCAAATTACGCATCATTCTTCCAAGCTGAGATCAAATATTACCATGCCAGGGAAGTCCTTCCTGACCTCCCCAGACACATATCTTGACAGTATTCTGGACTTCTTCACAACAATCATTAGTCTTGCAATTATTTGTTCAACATCTGTCTTCCCTGTTAAATGGTAAATATGAAGAGGGTCATTTCATGTCTTGTTTTCTGCTATTTCCCCAATATCGGGCACATTGCTTAGTACAGAGTTACTTAACTACTCAAAAGTTTGCTGAATTAATACATTCAAAATGCAGAGTAAGACCAAAAAACCATGAGATACTTTACTAGCACAAATAGCTTAAAAGTTCTATGTAAGTTTCAAGTTATATCATGCCCTTGGCTCTTCACATTTCTCTCTCAAACAAGTGCAGTTTGGCAGTTACAATGTTAAAGCCAAAAATCCCTTTAGATAACAAACATCTTAAATTTTCACAAAACCAAGGTCAGAAACCACTGGTCTCAAATAATTGGTATCAGCTTATATAAGTCATCACCTAAAACAATCCCCCTGAAACACAATTAAAGGAACAGCAACTTGGATAAGGGCTCAATTTTACCACAGCAATGTATGTTAGGAAAGGACCGATCACAGTTCTATCACTGCCTAAGCTTTATTAGCAGTTCCTTGTTTATTACAGTAGTAATGACTACAGTGCTACAGCCATCTGAGTAGGCTTTATGGTACATGGAATATGCTTTATTAAAACTAAAGTAAAACTGCAAGTGTACGCACTAAGTAGCTATTAAAGTCTTCTCTTTTAGGTTAGCAAAACAAACAAAAAAAGGAAATGGCAGTAAAGAAAATTTGAAAGCGAACGCTTAATTTTTTGAATTTGAAAACTGAACACTTAACATAAGGAAAACTATTTCAACCAAAACAGTAACTTTTCTATTCGTCTAATATTTACTGAGTGCTAATTACACACCGGACAGTGTTCTAAGATTTTCTTTATGTTCATTATTTTCCTTATTTGACAGATGAGGAAACAGAGGCACTGAGTTAAGTAATTTACCAATTATTATGCAGCTGGTAAGGGGCAGAGGCAGAATTCAAAGCCAGCCACTATGGCTCCAAAGTTCTCCCTCTCAACCCCTATACTATGTTGCCCACACTCTCTCCAATCCATTTTAATTGGGCTTTTGCATACACCATTCCACTCCAGTGAAACTATTTTGCTAAGGTCACCAATGACCTGCACCTTGCCAAATCTAAGTAAGGTCCACTGTCTGCCTCCACTTTTTTCACCCATTCTGCAGCATCCCATCAAATTAGCAGTTCCCCTCCTTTGTCATACATTTCTTTTCTTTAGTGACATATTGTCTAAGTTTTCCTCCTACCTCTCTCCTAGGATCTCTTCCCTTCCCTAGCTACACATTCTTCCTAGGAAATCTCCCATAATTTCATGGCTTTAAATACTATCTGCATGACTCCAAATTTCTCTAGTCCTGTCCTGAGTTTTAGACTCAGATATCCAATGACCTATCTGTTATCTCACTTAAAGGTGTAACAAACACCTCATACTTAATGATCAAAACTCTTTCCTTGTCCCCTCAAAACTGTTCTCTCCCAATTTCTTCTACCATCACCCATCCAGCTGCTTAGACATCATCCTTGATTTCCATTTCCCTCATCGTCCACATCCAATCCATGACCAAGTTCTATCAGATCTACTTATGAAACAGTTGGTAATTTCTGTCTCCCCATCACTCTAAAGCAAATTACCCACATCTCTGCCTACAATAGTCCCTTCAGAAAAGTCTCCTTTGCTTCCATTCTTGCCCCCTTAAGTCTCCACAAAGCAGGCAGAGTTAAAACAAAATTAGATCAGTCTCTGCCTGCTTTAAATCACCTAATGTCTTCCCATTACACCTTAAATAAAATCCTAACTCTTGACCATGGCCAAAAGATCTACATGATTTGGCCCCTGCCTACTTCTCCAACTTCATGTCTTTCCATTCTCTCTCCCATCTAAAGATTCAACAGCCTGCAGCCACAACGGCCTTCTTGCTCTTCCAGGAACATGCCACAATCATTTCTGCTACAGGGTCTTTTCATTTGCTCTTCCTTCTACAAGGAATGTTCTTTCCTCATATTGTCACACAGATGGTTCCTCCTCCTGTTAGGTGTTGCTCAAATTGCACCTACTCTGAGAGGCCTTCCCTGACCATACAATGAGAAGTACCCCTCACTCTAATCCTTTATGGTCATAGCTCTACCAATATCCGAAATGATCTTATTTACTTATGTTTTGTCGACTTTGGAATTTAAAATCCCTAATCCCAAAGCCTCCCACAGTACACAGTAGGTGCTTAGTAAACTTATTAAATTAGTAAATTCTCTCACTGCATTTTAAATTGTTTATTGGAAATCAAGTAATTCTGATATAAAGCACTTGGTCCATGATATATTTTGTATTGATAAATCCTTAAAACACTCTTTCTAAGACATTTTAGCACGCTAACCGCCCCCCAGTCTATCTATAGCATCCCACTTAAAACTGCTAAATATTGCATATGGATGAAGACTGAATTTTCTTTCTCCTCTCGAAGCGAACGAACATGTAGGCGGGAAAAGGGAATTTTACTGGCACCTTAGCACCTGTTACATCCTCAATCAGTTAAGAGAGGTGCAGATGAGCGAGATAGCACATGGAGACGTGGCCTTTCTTTCAGAGGTTGTATTTAGGTGAAACGTGAGTGATTTAAACTAGAACTGTCCTAATCCTCATTAAGGGCCGTTCACTTGGGGAAAAAAAAAAAACCAAGGTGGAATAGTCTGTAGGCAGTAGGTTATGCTCGGAGTCACTAAAAGAAACCGATTTTGAGGCCCTCGGAAAACATAGGTGTGTGGAAAGAGGTTGGGGTCGGTCTACACATAACGGGAAAAAAAGAGCAGGAGACACCGATTCAAAGACCAGGTCGGCGATAAAATAAAGCTCAGCTCAGGTTCTCAGGGGTACCTCAAACCTGGAAGCGAGGGTGAACAACGAGGAGAAAACAGAGCACCGGGACCTCCGTTCACCGCTTCGGCCTCCACCGCAGGCACTTAAGGAAACTGCTCAGATCTGTGTGTCCGCCTACCTCCCACTGCCATCCCTGCAAGAAAATAACCCCCGGATACTCACATGGGCTCGAGAGTCTTGCTGAGCCAGGACTTGAGTGCCTCGAAGTTTTCAATTATCATTTTAGAAACCATCCACAGCGGCCCCAAGGCCCGTCACACTCCTCCGCCCGCCCAGGTCGCGGCCGCTATAGCCGCCGCTGCCCCCGCCCCCTCCTTCGCGCGCCGCCCGCGTGGGCCGCGGTGGGAGGCGCTGGTGGCAGGTTCCCGCGAGCCCCCGTCTGCAAACAGCTCCCTGGAGACCGCCGCAGGCCGCGACTCCACGGGGTGCCAGGAGCTCCCGCTCCCCGGACCCCGGCCCGGGCTAAGGCAGCAACGGTTTGCCCGGGCCCTCCCCTTTCCCTCCTCGCTAGAGAATCTTCCGAGACCCGGAGCGCGACACGCACTTAGACCAGGGCTTTCCCTCAGCCTCGGGACTAGGTGCTTGTTGGTAACGCAGAAAAGGCAAAAGTAAGGAAAGCGAAGACCGAGGGCAGCTCAATGGGGACGATTCGGGGGGTCTTCCCAGCTCCCAGCACCCCCAAGAAGATGGCTGCCGATAAATCTCGCGAGAATTGGTGAAGTCTCGCGGTGACTCCCGGAGCCTGCTGGGAAGAGACGTAAGATTCGCGGACAGTGCGCTGGGCGAGTGCTTTGATTTCGGAGTATTTACTTGGCTTGCGGCCTGTGTGCCTTTTTACTCTTTGGTTTTCATAATGAATAAAGACTTTCTTGTTTTAAAAGGAGGTAAAGGCCTCTGACTTCAAAAACAGCGGGAGCCCCAGTTCGTTCTCTGTAAGACGGCTGTGGCGTGTCAGCTGGAACGAACCTGCGGGATGGAGAGCTCATTGCGAGAGTCTGCACCTGCGTGCCGGACGCAGGGCGGCCTGTGGCCTCCAGGGGTCCTGCACTGTGCTGCCGAGTCATACCTCAGTGCCCTACCAGTGCCATATTCTGTGTGTGCTGTATGTGGACAAGATTGGTAAACACAGGCTGGTCTCATCTCATCCATTGAGATCTCCAGAGGATTAGTGTCTTGTCCAAAATTATTGTTGTCAAAGTCCTAATAACCTAGGGGTGCCCCAAGAGAAGGATGAGATAACCTCTCAAGAGCTCTCAGTTTCCAGCCGTCTAAGACTTTCGGACTCTTCCCCGGCTAAAGACAGGAAAAGTTTTGTTGTTGTTTAAAATTCTCTTTATTTAGAGCAGATTCAGCCCTATCTCAGGTAGGGAAATTACGTAGAATCAAAAGAGCATATCAGCATCTCAAATAAATAGACTTCCCTTCTCGAATCTCTTTATTTAGAGCAGATTCAGCCCTATCTCAGGTAGGGAAATTACGTAGAATCAAAAGACAGAGCATATCAGCATCTCAAATAAATAGACTTCCCTTCTCGAGGGTGGTCAAATAAATTTGATTTCTGCCTGAATTCTTTCTATGTACTGTTATATACTACCATTAAGGTGCTAAGTGGAATTTTGCAGAGGTCTAGGGTCCACGAGCTATAGTGAAAATGAAAATAATTACAATTTAAAGACACAGTAAGTAGACCAATAAAAGCTGTTTATGGAAGACACAGTGGTAGAATGACTTGTTCTTATGAGCTCTGAGTTTGTAATTTGTTAGAGTGAAGTTTCCTAAGCATGAAGTGGAAAGATTATCAAGTACAAGGCTAGACATTTGTTTAAAATTCAGCATATACAGTAGGGTGCAAATTAGAATCCGACTATTGAATAACCAGGGTGTTGATTAAAGTGATTTAGCCAAGTGAAATAAATCAGACACGAAAGGACAAATATTTATGCAAGTATTGGTTTTGGGGTTACAAATAAGTTTAAATGAACTGGCAAACTCATAAATACAGAATCTGCAAATAATAAGGATCAACTATATTTTTTGAATGACCAAATGAAGCCCCTACCACTTCCATGAAATCTTCCCTGACCGCTGCAGCTGATCGCAATCTCTTCCTCCTCTAAATTGTGGTATTGTGCTTGTTATCACTTCATGGTCACTTAGCGTTGTTTCCTAGCAAGCTTCTCTTCCCTAACCATTAGCATTTATCCCTCATCACTTCACTGCTTTGTCTTCTTTGGCTCTGTCTTCAAAGGTGACACTTAACTAATGTGATAATCAGTGCTACTAAGAGAAGACTAAAACAACTGCCATAGACTACTTGCTCTATTTGGTAACATAAATATTTTGGAAAATCCAGTATTAGGTTACCTACTTCACAGTTTTCAACACACCATGCTCTTTCAAGGCCTTGTAACTTTGTTAGTGCTATTTCTTTTGCCTGGAATGACTATCCTCGTTGCTTAAATACCAGTTTCTCACTGATACCCTAGACAAAGGTAGTTGCCTCTTGGTTCCTACCTGTAGAATAGGAGTTAAAACATTTTATTTAGTTTTCTCATATTTCTCAGCTCTGATAATGAACTTTTTAAAGACTGGGACTCAAACTTATTCCTCTTTGTGCTTCCTGCACTTAGCACAGTGTCTAGAACTCAAAAAATGTTTATTGAAGGATATACAAGGGTACTTCAAAAAGTTCAAGGAAAATAGAATTAAAAGATAATATGAATCTTTCCATGAACTTTTTGAAGTACCCTCATATGCTTCATTTTAAATAGGAAGGAAGCAAAGGCAGTGTAAATTATTTTAGGTAAGCAAGATAATGCTATATCTTCTAACAGACCTGTATCTGTATACAGTTTATTGGCATGAGTTGCCTTCATCTTTTAGCTACACTGGTACAAGGCATATTATTCTCTATAGTGTGCTTAACTCCTCCTTAAGTTCTTCACTTCTCTCTCCTAGTTGGTAGATACAATCTTATTACTTTCAGTAGTGCTTTCGAGGTCTCGTTTAAAAACCCAGTCTACGGGCCGGCCCGGTGGTGCACTGGATAGTGCGCCGCTTGGGAAGCGTGGCGGCGCTCCCGCCCGAGGGTTTGGATCCCACATACAGACCGGTTCCCACTCACTGGCTGAGCGAGGCGCGGGGGCAACACCGAGGGTTGCAATCCCGTTGCCGGTCCCCGGTCCGGTACGGGGGCAACACTGAGGGTTGCGATCCGTTGCCGGACACGGAAAAAGACAAAAGACAAAAAAAAAAAAAAACCCAGTCTACATTTCAAGATCACAAGGATATACTATATTTTCTTCTATTTATTTTATAGTTCATTTCTCTCTTCAGAGAATTACATTTACATCTTTATTCTCTGAAATACCTCCTTGTATATGGTGGAAGGTGGACATCTATCCCATTTTTTTTTTCTCCAAATGGTGAGCTAATTTTTCTCTATAATTCTACTTAACAGTCCATCCCTTCCTATTGAATTATTATTTTTTTTTTTTATTGGCAGTTGGCTGATGCAGGGATCCAAACCCTTGACCCCCGTTGACTTTTGATGCTACTTATTATATCTTTGTATATCCATTTATACATGATTTTGGTTCTGACTTCTTTTTCAATTAGTCTGTTTGGCCATAACTATACCAGTGCCATGTTATTTTAAATTTACCATTGTATTATAGAATATCTTAATATATAACAGAAAATCTCTCCTCTTTGCTCTTTTTCACGTTTAACTTGGCTAAATGTGAACATTTGGTTTTCCAAATACTTAGAACAAGATTGTCAAACTTGTCAAAAAAATCCTTCCTTGAACTTATGGATTAATTTGGATTGAATTGACATTTTACAATGCACGACAGTCCTAGAGGTGTGCTATTCAGATTCCCCTTCAAGAAAGGGCTCACTGCCCAACTTCAAGGTGTGTAGTCAATTGACAGCCTCCAGCTGTTAATTCTTTCTAGGTTCACCTCAGCTTTCAAGCTGAGAATACGCTATTCTCAGGGCAACCCCTCTCCCCTGTGACCATCCCCAGCTGAAGACTTAGCAAGGCATAGTATAAGAATCTGCTCAATGCTGGGATGGCAGAAGCTTTGTCAGCCCCGCATGGCAATCTAATGGCTCCCTTGCTTCATCCTGCTTTCTCCTTTTCCCTTTCACAGCTGCTACTCTCCAGTAAGCCTTAAATCATCCAATTCATTCTATTTTACATTTTTTTTAAAAAGTGAACAGTAAAATGTAACCATTCCTTTTGGCCTGATTACTTCTTTGAAACCATCCCTGCCATCTCAATTAAATATGATCTCTACCCAGACATTCATTCTAACAAGATTTTGACTTCCTATGGCCATCATTGATTTAGCACCTACCGTTTTACATTTTCATAGTACATATACATTATTTTCTGTGTGGTTCTCTAAATCTCCTCTGGCCTCCTTGTGCGCCTTGTTTCATTAGTTATTTCCTTTACTTCTTATTTTCAAATCTTACACTCTGGTGAATCTTTCCAATCTATTTATTCAACAAATGTTTACTGGAGGTCTGCTCTGTTTCAGACATACTGCTACCTGAGAACAGCAGTAGACAAAAAAGACATGGTATCTATGGAGCTTATAGCCTAGCGGGGAAGAGGGACATTTAACAAATAATCATATAGGAAAAAAATTTATAATTTATTTTTATGATAGGTATTATGAAAGAAAATAGAAGGAAGCAAGAAGCATTATAGCCATTTAGACTGGACAGGTTCACACATGACTTCTCAAAGGATATGATATTTAAATGATTAAGAAAAGTGAATAATGAATGGAAGTTAGCCATGTGAAGCAAAGTAGAGAAAAGTACATTCCAGGCACACATAATAGCTTGTAGGATGTTCCTAAGGTAGAGAAAAACCAGGATCTTAGAAAAGGCCAGAGAGGTGGGAGGTATCATGTTGGGGGAAGGGGAAAGAATGTCTGTAGGTCAAATTAAAGATAAAAAATGTCATGTCAAGATTTTTAGACTGGATTTTATTTAAAATATGCTGAGAAGCTATTGAAGAGTTTTCAGTGTGGCAGGATAAATTAAAAACATGAACACACCCACACAAACTTCTAAGAGAGAACTTAATTAAATTTAGGAATTTTTAAAGAAAGAAAGCAAATGATCCTTTGACATAATAATACCAGGGTTTTTATTTCCCTAAAAGTAAGATCAAGACCATGTTAGTAAAGGGAATATAGTTTTCTTACCTGAGACTAGATGCTGATTACTTGCAAAAAAAAAAATAAATAAAAAGTAAGGCTTTCTCTAGTGAGGTATGTCCTTAAGTAATTCAAGAAGAAACACTTCATCAATTGCTGATGGTGTAAACTGGGAACAGAAGATGTATTATCATTTCCCCCGAAAAAGGAACAGAGCACTTCTGGTATAAATGGGTTTGAGGGACAATCACCAAATCTTCAGTGAGCATTCTATTTATACCAATAATTAATTATAATGACTCCATCTCCAGTTCAAAGGTGCTGTGGAACTATTGTTTATTGATGTGTTTATGGTAGGTAATAATCATAACATAAAAAATATATATATACATATATTTCATAGTCATGCATACATACATGCACACACAAAGTCTCCTGTATAAACTGCCACAAATTATGACAGATAAGTGTAAATCTTAGTATCCATGGGAAAAAAAATATTATTAGAAAACCATCTGTCAGTGAAATAAAATGTTTGTGCTGTCAAAATAACTCGTACGGTAAGGGGAGAGAGTACCAATGAAACAAGATTGGCCATAGTCGATTATTGTTGAAACTGGATGATGGTTGAAGATTATATTTCTTTCGGCTTTTGTATATGTTCAAATTTTTCCAAAATAAAAAATGGTTTTAAAAAATCTATTAAGGCAGGAGGACCCAAAAGACAAAAAGATCTCTGGGAAGACCTTCTATAGTGGCTAGAATGTAAGTTCCGAGGCAGCAGAGACTTGTGTCTGTCTTGTTTACAACTGTATGTTCAATGCCTAGAGAAGTTTGTAGCACCCAAAAGGCTCTTAATATGTATTTGTTAAATGAATGAACACTGGAGAATAAAACCCATAACCTGAGTAAGAGCCTGGCAGTCTGGACTGGGAGTCAGGAATCCTGGGGTTTATTCATCTGTCATATGACATATGGCATTCCGTTAGCTCTTGTAAGGATAAATACCTCAAGAAATCCAACCCAAGGGAAAGGAGATTCACAAACTTTCACCTTGGGATTCCATGGTAAGTAGGTATTTACATGCTTAAATGCATATGATCCCTACAGAGCTGCTTGTGGGGACTCTGTCATATTTTATTTCATTTCATTACTTTTTTGCAACAAATATTT